ATGCCATCTGTGAACTTCAATTCCTGCAAAAAGTTACACTTCGTTTTCACATCCACAAAACGCCAAGTGGATATGAGTTGCATTGTTCTGTCACCCTTGTAGTCACCTACTCTCTTTTTTGATCAATTCCTACCCATTTTTTGATATCCATAGTTATTTTTGTCACTACTAAATTTGTCCTAGGGACTGCTGCTCCAGCCAGCTTATACAAATATTGAGAGAAAAGAATCATATTCTTCCTGCAACTGAAATGCATAAACAAGTAACCACATAATGAGTTTTTATACAAATATCAGTTTACATCTGCATGTGAAAACAGGAAACAGATATCACATGTGTTTTACTGCAGGAGGGATCTGCAGGAAATGCCAGAGCAGCAGCCCAGCTCCTGCAAGAAGCATGCACCAAAAAGAGCTGCTGAGCATTAGGAGTTCATTACATTACATAAAAGTGTAGACATTAAATAACGTGATTAGCTTTATTCTTGTATTTATCATCTGCAGTTACATGCATGTTAAAAAATTGTTATTCACATATATTGTATTAAAGCCACATATTCTGGGCAAATAAACTCTTTCCCAAGAACACGTACTTTCCCCATGTTTCCAAAATGCACCTGGCTCACAATCACATACAAAATGGTTAGGTTGTGAATACACTTTTCTTCATGAGAGATGAAAGCAATGCAGATATGACTTGACTGAAGTCACTGAGTTGCTGGGTTGTTTTTCTCTTTTGATTGCATAAACTTGTTCTTTTGTCTTTACTCACCATTTTAATCTTGGAGTTTAATTTGTTCCCTGCTATTCTGTTGTGGGATTCAGGCAGGCATCTTTCAGATACACAGACAAGTGTACAAGATGGATCCACACCCTCCTTTTAGCAGTCACAAATGCCATTCTGGCATCATGCCCCCACAGTTCAAATGACCTTGCATTTTGTGAGCTCTTGTGAAAGGCACACACAAAGAACTTGCATGTTGCTGAGCCCCATGCTATGGAGGCTTCCTACGTGACTGCACGTAAGGAGCTGGTAAAAATAAACTGTGAAAGACACAGGAGAATGCCAGCAAGCCCTCCACCCCCTTTTCACCCAGAGCAGAGGCGTCACACCATCTTATATTTCCACAGAGCTGTCATACAGAACTTCTCTGCTGGAATCCTGAAGGCAGGATTCTCTCCCTCACTCACTCAGGGCACAGCCCAGAGCATTTGACACAGAGTGTATATTGCTTGCACAGCTTTTTTGTCTACAGTGTTTTCTAAGTGGCAGAAACTTCCATAAACTGAAGTGAGCTATAAAAGTAGAAAATGCATCTCTTCACAAACTTTTGAAAATACAGATTAAAAATATCAAACACATTTACTTATTTTCTTTAGTTGTTATTATTGAACTAATGAAAATTCCTTCACTCACCCCAGAAAGGATGTCCCTTACAAACTGTGTGACTGTTCAATAAAATACTATATCAATTTTAGGACAGAACAAATTATCATTGTGAAACAATGACCAGCAGCAATTATAAGAATTCTAATCCAAAACTCATAAAACCATCATATATCTCCAGAGCCATTGCTCAGCACGATAAATTTACTCTAAGATGGATATGACAAATATAAACTTAAAAGAACTGAAGGACTCAGATAAAAACTATGAAAAGGAATTGTTTTTATTAGCAATGAGAGGAAAACATGCCCCAAAGGAACTTAGAAGCTTTTTCTCAAACTCAGTCCTCTCTTTCAAGAGGATTTAGATAATCTACAAATATTGAAGAGAAAGAAAACAACTCATCCCATCTATACTACATTTATAACATACAACTAGTGTTAAACATATTTTCCTCCACATGGAAATGGAAACAAGCAGAAATTCTACTGACAGAAATTCAGAAATGCTATTTCCTTTTTTTACAATAATGTGCTTCTTCAGCTGAAAGGACAGGAAGCCCCAGAGCATCCTCAGAGCTACTCATGCATAAAACCCCCAAAGCTATACCTGTTGATCAATTCACATTTCATTTCCAGCAGGAAAAAAAAAAAAAAAAAAAAAAAAAAAAGTATAATTGGTTCAGGGAAATTCAAATCTCATTTGAATTAAAGACCAAGTACAAACTGACATCAGAGACAGGAAGAACTAGCTGTAAGTGTTAAAAGCCATCAGGCTGCATTGTGTTTCAGAGTACAGATTAAAACTGTAGCCCACAAGGATTGCTCACTATCAATGTGCATTTAAGTCCTTCCTTTTTTCTTATTTTCCCTACCTTACATACACCAATTACAGATGACCTGGTCCTGAATCCCTCAAGTCAATGGAAAACATAAAATGCATTGACTATTTAAAGCAGAGTAATGTCCAAGTCAGTTATTCTGCAGATAAGAAAGCAGAAAATTTAATTTAAAATTGTTCTTTAGTACCTTGTTAAAACACACTGTACTGTCCCATGCAATGAAAGCAGATAAGATAGGACTACACATGAAAAAGAGAGTATCGTGTGAAAGAACCCCAAAATAACACAATTATTTAGAGCTTTGTGAAGGGGACAGTGGCTGCAAAGTCAGACGGAATCAGTTTAACTGCCCGTTAGAACGACTGCCCTTTTCTCCCTTAGTATGGTTAAGTACTTGTTTAAGGTGGGGCACTCGGGGTTTGGCAACAGATCCTGAAGATAATGGCAGTTGTTCTGCTCTGGAAACTGGGACAGGGGGATCTGAAAGCAGTGGAAGAATACTGGGTCTGTTCCTGAGCAAAACAGAAAGCCACAGCATATGAGTAATCCTATCTTTAGTCATCACAGTATGTATTCAAGCGCTCCTCTGAATGATGATGGGATTACTCACATGGGTAAGGTTAAAAGCACATACTTTTGCTGAGCAAATTATATCTTGATAGAAGCCATAGTAATCCACGCAGTTCTCTTCAGAGGTTTTCTCTGCAAATACTGGGACACCCACATAACTGAAGGGAGAACAAAGACCTCTTTAATTATCGCACAGAAACACCCTAAACTTAAATTCACTGATTTTTGCTTGCCTTCAAAGCACATTAGTTGTCACATTAGACATGACTGGATCCTATATCCAGAACCAAAGCACTCTAGGACAGTAGGACAGTGCAGTGAAGAAGAAATAATATTTTATAGGGGGATAGAAACAATTACTCTAGTTTCAGAATTCACTAAAACTAATAAGGTCATGCAGATACAATAGAAAAAATGACAAACTATACAGCACGCAGAATATTTATCTACAGTAATTTAGATGTCTGATTTTGGGGTATGTGTCAAAGAAGTAAACATGGAGAGACTTGCTTTCATGAGATTGTGTCAGGTAGCCTGTGAGTAGGTGCCTCAGGTGAGAAGAACTGTGATTTCACACCAGGGACAGCAAAGCTCACACCAACCAGGCAAGGGATGTTCAGAAGCTTCCCACGCCATCTGCTCAAACAAGGATACAGACTCACAGGCAAGGAAGAAACCTCCGGGACTAGAGGTAAACTGCAAAAAGAGAGCTGGGGCAGAAAGCCATAAAAGAGCAGCTAGAATTATGTTTTCCTATCTATATGTTTTCTATGGTCCACAGTCATAAGGCACAGTCACTGCACCAGTAAATGAGTGTTGATGCTCACACAAGATCTAAAAGACACTGACAGACACTGACTAAAAAAACAGAACAAGTAATAACTCGTTGTCCTCTAGATATCATTTTCTAAGTTATACTTTTGTAACTGGTTTTTTGTACTGTAAGGAAAAAATGGAGCTGCAGAGTCCACATGAGTCTATGGAGTCTAATACGAATGTGTTTAGATACCATGCCTACTAATCTTTCTTTAATAACTAAGACCACCACTGCAGAGAGTCTGAATAAGGCTCATATACCACTTGTTCTACTCTGAGGACTAAGAAGGGCTCAGCCTCTTAAGTGTGGAAGTATGGAAGTGTTTGGCACACAAGCATTGGGGTTGCTCTGAAGCATTAGACAAATTTGAGATTTAATCTGACCTGAACAAAGTGAGAAAGGGTGCACGGAAATAATAGTCTGGAATGAGAGATATTTTAAAAGGCCTCAGGCAGTTTTCTCTAAAAAAGAACTTATTAAGATAGCAAGTAGATCCAGTGAACAATTTTTTCTAAGCTACTAATAAAAATACATTTACCATTCAACAGAGTGAATAGTATACAAACTATTTGCACATTTTGCAAAATTAATATCATTTTTTCAGTCAGAAGCTATTCCACAGAATACTTTTGTTAGAAAAGATAAATTTCTGGAAGCAGTTTTGAAAAGAAAAAAAAATAGTTTAAGGTTTGAAATTATTAGTATGACCTGATGAGGTTAAGGCTTCTCTCTTGAATTATAACTGTGAGTTTGACTTCACTATGTATTGAATGCTCGAGTCTGTAACTGATGACTGCAAAAAGACAAGACACATTGTGGTGGGTTTACAAGTCTAACCACAGAAAATCCAAAGTAAAAATTGGCACTTTTTTTACATATATGTAATCAGATATGTTACAGAACTAAAATAATCACTCCAACTAGTCACAGCAAGTCAGACAGGTTTTCTAAAGGCAAAATACGTCTGAGAAGGGATCTAGAAATCTCATCAAATTTTCTGCAGTACCTCAGTCAAGTGGAAAAGGTTTCATACTCTTGCTCTGTCAAAAAGGCAAGATGTGATACAAATTTAAAGGCACAGATATTACAGAACAGTCTTCTCTTGAATAAAATAACCTATAAATTAGATAATTGTTAAAACTGAGAACAGCCATTTTGATCTTGCTTTATTTCTCAGTGCTGACTGTTTCTTGACCAAACATCTCTATCTTTTCTATTGCTGCACCACTGTCTGCTGGAGGAGTCTTTCCTGAGCAGTTTTCCTTCTTTCTTCCCATTTCTGTAGCTTCCTCCAAAGTATTAGTCAAAGGTTTTCCAAGTGTCTCTGGAAGCATTAATGTTAATATTCCACTCAGAAGAGCCATGATTCCAACAAGCAACTAGAAGAAATAAAAAGCAGCTGTAAGGGTAGAAATGTTTTTCAAGGTATGCAAATCTTTGGTCTTGCTTGAGAGTACACTTGAAATAAAATTCAAGGAACTGCGGTGTAAAGCAAATATCATAAGTCTGAAATGCTGTCTGTACAAAAGATCTCCTTTTTTATTGTGTAAATGAAATCTTATGTGGCGGAATTAATGAATTGCAAGTTTAGAATTAATGAAGAACAAATGCAGTGTTTGTTTGTTTGTTTTTTCCATAAGGAATCAATACAGTGCAAGGAGGAATAATTATGTTTGAGAAAAGAGAATATATATATCTTCATTTGGTATTTCTATTACCATGCATGTATTTAAAAATAGATTATAGGATTGCATTCATTTATTTTACATGCATGTTCACAGAGCTGGAACTTCCCCACCACCTATAACCTCAATCCACGCTCTATCTCCTGAACCTCTCCCCCTGTACCTGCATCCTTGCTCATCCTATGTACAGCCAGACCAGAATTTCTAGGTACAGACTGTTGGCCTGGAGCTGCAGAAATGTGCATCTGGGGTCAGGAGAGCACTTAACTTGTGGTCAGCAGAAACTATAACTCTCAACAGGAATACTTTGCTGAACTTTCATTATAGATCCAGTAGGGGTGCAGGCATTTACTGACATGTGCACCACGGTCACATCTTGGATTTGTCTGTGGCATACATGCTACCATAACAGCATGCTTCGGTGTCAAGGAGCAAGCACCAGGACCATGCAGGATAGATGCAGATGCACACACTCCACAAGCATCTCTTTTTCCCTTTATTTCTTTATTTGCTCAGTGAGAACAGTTTCCACTTTCCTCCTTTGAAGTACAGTACAGGCATTAAAACCTTGACATTCTTCCAATGTTAGGTTATAAATAATCCGAATCTCTCTTGATTTAAATGCTTCTGCACAGTACATCATGCCTGGCCTCAGTGTTTTTCCATTTCATGACTGTGTTCTTTAATACTGTATTATCTTTATCTGGCCCTGTGCTGATTCTCATGTTTGTGCTGTTTGTTTAATACTTGCCCTACAAGTGTGAGACATTTGGAACTACAACACCTTTCTTCCTCGCACAGTGCTGGAGACAAGAACTGGCCCGCTACCATCTGCATCTAAGTAAGACTTTCTTCTCAAGTTAGAAAGATGCTTTAAAAGTGGAGTTCTCCACTGTGACCTTGAACAGAGCTGTTTTCATGCAAATGCACTCTGCCGCTTTTCCTTGTCTCAAGTAACTTTTTGAGAAGCAAAATTCATATGGTTCCATACACTCTTCTTTCTTCAAAATACTGTTTAACAGCACAAGTGACAGCGAAAATAAAATATTCATTCCCTCACCATGTGAAATTACAAAAAATATCCTAGCAGTAATAGGACCAGAGGAAATAGTACTGAGTGAGAAGAATACAAAGTGTCTGAAAAGTCAACTAGAACAGAGAACACACTCACTACTGAGCACAAAACTCTCCTCTACTATTAGAAGTTATTTTCTGTCACAGCAAGACAGGATAAACTGCAAAATTCTATTCCATATTGACCTTTCTTATGCATTTTCTTAGGCTGTCATACATTTATAATTGAGAATACTGAGGGATTCTGAGGAGACCGAAGCTTAAAAGACTACTAATTTCTTTGGATATCCATACACTCAGAGTTCATGAGAACAGGGTCACTACTGATGCCTGACAGCAACATTAAAACAACACTGTGCTTTGTAGATGTATGTCTTCTCTGTTCCATATGGTCTTTCAGACACTTTCTTCTAGTGTTTCCCTTCCACATGAACCTGCCTCTTATGCCCTGTGAACTCCCACTATCCTGGACACCTGCACAACACCACCTTTCCTGCCTTTAATCTCAGCTCTCTATTGCTGCACCCCAGGCTAATTCCCTCTGTTTCCCTTCTACCTCATCTACAATGCATTTTCCAGTGCTTCCTATGAAAGACAGAATATGAAACAGTTAAATCACAGCATATTAATGAAGTGACTTTTCAAACATCATCTTTTTTTCTTTTTTCTTTTTTCTATTTTTTCAGGGACAGTATCCAAACTCATCAGTGAAGTTACAATAATTCAAAACAAGTCTTCAGCAAACTGGACATTACTCTTCATGTGGCATCTGACAGGATCTGGCCCTATGTGTGATCCAAACACACACAGTATGTGTACGTTATGTCTGTGTGTAACATTGTCCATATGTAATTCAGCATCAGAAAACGTTTTCCTGATATAGCCAAGAGTTAAACGTTTATGGATTGAAGTGTATTGTTGTGCAAAATATTTAAGTATGTTTAAGCTCCACTAAAATTAATGTGGCAGCTGTGTGTGTTTAAGTCACTGCTTTTTCAGACTCTTCATTTGAAATCTGACTTTCAGTTTAGTCAAACTCTCAAATTACTCCCAGCACTTCAGTGCATCCAGCAGTTTCTAACAGCTACCGTGAATAACTTCAAAAAAGATGTGCTGCCATTTTTTTAAGTCTTCCTCACTACCTGAAGCAACAAATTTAATTTCACACTGGTATAAGGCTGGGAGATAGTAGACTTGTACTAGAGAGAGAGATGATTTGCATTAAATATCCCTACAAAATAACACCCTTACTTTTGAGAACAAGAAATTCTTCTAGCCTGACAATCAAATATGTTCATATCTGATTGCTTGAAACCAGTCTAAAAACGTAATCTTACTTGCAAAATCCCTAATTCAACTACAATGAAAAATATTTAAAACACGGGATTTTCATTCAATTGGCTTCACTGACCTCAGTGAAGTTATTTTTGTTTGTGCTTTGTGATGCATTTGACAGAAAAATCAAGGTCCTGTTAAAATACTAATGGAACATAATTCTGAACCACCGAGAAACACAAATAGGACACACATAGAGCAGCACCGTTACTACAACTCTTCTTGAAAGTTGTCGCATACAAACTACATTTTTAGCAAGCTATTCAAAATTTATAGGCATTCAAATGAGGTGTTTGCATTGCTCACAGGTGGCATAACTGTATGCGAGGCAGACTGTCAAACAAATAGCGGCATTAACTGCTTGACAGTGCGTGGTGTATACAATAGGTCAACATGATATACATCAGCTTATTCAGAAATGTAATCCATTTAATTTCACTTTCATTCCAAACCACTTACTTTACCTAAGTCTTGGCAAGATCTGCACCATGCTTAGACAAGCCTATTTAATAAACTGACAATTGCTTTATAGTAGGAGCTAATAATGAAAACATATTCACAGTTAACGACTACACAGCTCCACAAATACTATGGGGACTTTCTGCACACTGAGGGCTGCTCAGAGCTGAAATAATTCCTCAGTTCACATTGCTATTTCCACTGTTCTTCAGCATACCTGAGCATTCATCATCTGTGGTTTGACTGCAGCACTTCTGCACAGATAAAGCTTATCTCAGCTAGTAAGCAAAACATTGACCAGAGAAAGAGAAGCTCCCTTATGGCTGCTCTGTTGTGCAAATATTGTTTTCTGTGTCTTTCCTGAAATGCTGTATTGGTTAGTATGGGGTCATTACTAAGAAAGAAAACAGTTTTTAGGAGCATGAGGGAATAAATTATTTTGTGGTCTGCTTTTTTCATCTAAGACAATTGAATGTAATTAATTTATATTATGAAACAAATTCCCAAGAATTCTCTCAAACCAATCTAGCATCTATAAGGTTTTCACTGTTGTTATTGTTGTTGCAAAATCAAAAGGACACAATGCCATTTTTGCACGAAATTCCAGTGTGGTAGAGAAAATTAGAATCTAGGTCAAAGACACATCCTATTGTATTTTTACCTTCTGACACATCCAGTTTACATATAACATTGCTGTGCTAGACAAAGCAAATTCTAGGGGGTTTTGAAAGAACTCAAACTGTTTTTAAATTGTTAATAAGCTCTTGTTCACTTATAACCTTAATGTAAACTTCATAATTACTTATAATTTTGCATCAGCAGAAATTATCTTCCAGGAGAACAAAAAGGTATTGAAAAGCTGCATGATTTCTAAGCAGCAAACGCGTAAGAGGAATGTAATCAACAAATACAGTTTATTGTGAGCAGGAAAGAAACAAAATATTTTGTCCAAAATGGGTTTGAAGCTACATAACATAGAAGCAATGCCCAAGATCTATGAAGGAATGGTCTGCGCCTGTCTTCTCCTGGGGCAATTAGAGATAAGGATCCAATAGTAGCATGACCTGGAAATCATCTACATTACAGTGTGCTTAATGAATCCAAGGTCCTGTTTCTTGTCAAAGTTACCATGAACATCATCGTTAGCTTCTCTTTTTTTTTTTCTTTTTCCATTTCATGAATTGCTTAGTTTGATTCACGTAAAGGAAGAGTACAAAGCAGATGCCCTGGCATAGATGTGAAGACTAAGCATAGTAAGTCTAAGACAGTCTTGATCTTCTGGAAGGCTATTCCAAAAGTGCAGTGTCCAAGGGAAGTCAGGGAAAAGGCTAAAGAAGAATTTTATGCAGTTGGACTTGATGATCTTTAAGGTTTTTTCCAACCTGAGCAATTCTGTGATTTTATTATAAAAAAAAATAGAAGAATGTTATAAATAATAGAAAAATAGAATAATATTACTAAAAATATATATTATAAAGAAAAACAGCCACCATGGTGAATTTCTTAAAGGGAAAAACTCTGTCTCTGGAAAAAAATGAAGAGTAAGTTATTAGCATGGTCTGCAGAGTAAAGAAGTATGGACTTGAGACACTTCTGAAACGTTACATGGAAGATAAAGTATAATTTTGTGGGAAATATTTTTATTTAATAAATTTATACAAGGACCCAATGAACGGAAATTTTTGCACATCACAACAACTTCTCCCACTTCAGTGACTCAAAGTCTCCCTTCTGCTTTACTGCATATTCTTAACAATAGGAAGTTAATAACCTTTGAGTCTTAAAATTTAGAACAAGAATGGTTCATTCAATTCTTTTCAAAGGAAAAGTTCAGCTTTCAGTTCCTGAAAAAACAAGTGACACGCTTATTTTCAGAACCTGAAATGTTTATAATTAAAGTAAATACTTACAAGTGGCAAGAAAATCCAAACACTTCTCAGATACACACAGAAAGGAGCAACCACACTGCCTACACGGCACATCATGCTCCCACTTCCAACAGCAAGCGATCTGTAAATAAAACAAATATTTTGATAAGAATTCTAGCAAATAAAGCAATTAGAAATTGTAGCAGCCATTAGATGAGTTGAAGTTATACTAGAAAGCTACTGCCTCAACAATATGAATTTACATTTCAGTGAAATTCAGCTACTTCTGAAATGAAGACAAAATCAGATTAGCATTCAGCATACACTATAGAATGAAGAACTGGGGCTATTAAGAAAGACATAGGTAACATACAGGAAAGTACTGAGTATTCTTTTAGTTCCTCAGTGAAACCAATCAGTGGCCAAGGAAATGAAAAATTAATAAAATTTTACTGTACAGGCAAATACTAGACAGCTCTTAGCAGCAGGGGTACTCGTCCTTTCCTGTCTTTTAGACCAATGTTGCTAATGTCAAGAGCTGCTAGCTCTGGCACAACAGCATAAAAAGGAAAAGGAAATAACAACAAAACAATGAAAGATATCTTCCGGCAAAAATTCTTACCTTACAATTGTTGGATACAGTTCTGCTGTGTAGAGGTATATAAGGCCAAATGCCACACCTATTGAAAATTTTCCAGCCATGTTTGCCAAGATAATTAACACATTAAAGTCCTAATGAAAGAGATCACAAATAAATAAATTACCAAAAAACTTCACTGTTCCAAACTTGAATTAAATCCATGACTCTTCTTTAAACACAAAGCAATATTTATTACTCGTTTTTTCTTTAAGGCAAGTAAAGTGTCCACACAACTTTTTACCAGTCCTGGTTCTCTGAAGCCCTGGGAACATTCTACATCTGTCTCCAGCAACAGTACTGTGAAGTCTGTACTGAAAATACAGAAATCTATCCTTGACTGGCAGCTGCATTTTAAAAGCATATGATTTGGAAAGAACAGCTGCCTCCACAGACTTCAGGATCAATAAAATAAATGTCTAGTGAAGGAACACTTTCAACAATATATGACTAACCTGAGGTATGAACATAATTAAAACACAGATCAGTGCACTTAAAATAAGGAACGGAATGAGTGTGTTTCTCCTTCCCAGTTTGTCCATCCCAATGCAAGCAATGATATAGCAAGGCAACTCCACAGCACCTGTCAGTATGAAATTATTTCATTTTAAGTCATGATTACACATATTCATCTTATAACTCTAGCTTCCTCTTAATGGGGATTCATTTAATCTAGAAAGTTAGCTTGATTGTACATGTCACGAATATGTGAAATCTAGAGACAATTGTTGTGTTAGGATCATTCATCTGGTCACAGAAACGGCAACAGATGATGGAAAACATAGCCTAAGATAGTCAGTGGGGGATGAAGGAGGACAAGTGGAACAGGTTTTACAGCATAGAGCAGTTCCTAGTCTCTTTGGGGTGGAAAATTACAGAAAACAGCAAGGCTTGCTTTAAAGAGAGGGCAGCTGCTTACAGTAACCCACTTGGGTAGATTTTCTCTTCCTAACATCTCTTTCCAGAAAAACTTAATGCAGCCATATGAGACCAATATTTGGCAAGAACTGTTCACAAACTCTGAGCATGGTATGCCCCCAGATAAATCATACTGATCCTAAGCCATTCTGGACATGTTTTAAGCCAACTTGCTCATGAAGAATCTTGCTATGTCCAGGGTAATGTCAGGGAAGAACATAAGAACAAATAGGCTGTGTTTCTCTACTGAGTACGTGTACTATGTTGATGCACCTATAATGCTGGAAAACAAATGTTGAGGTTTGTATTGGTAAAAGCAGGCTGTAGCCAGTTGCACTACATCAGTCTGCTTGAATATTTTTGGAAGAGGTGGGCACAGTGAGTTACTTACTGCTCTCTGTCATTGGCACTCACTCTTCACCATGCCAGCCTATCAATACACTACAGTATGTGACAACTCAAATTCAGCTCACAAGAGTTACAGTCCTTCTGTGTGTTGATGTACATGGACAGGCATGTACATCTTAACTGAGAGCACTGGGTCACATAAAACAAAGCACATAATTTATTCCCCTGCTATCTCAGGGCTGTCTGCCCAACCTGAAGTCTTCTGAAGTCAATGGAGTACTCCCACTGATTTTTACAAACTTCAGGTCAGGCCTTGAATGCGCTTCATAACACCTTATAAACCACAGGAATATTACAGTCAGATCAATTAAAGGAATAGCACGACTAAAAATACATTTTTGAGAAAAACAAAATTATTCCTGCTTCTGAGAACCATGAATCTATTTTCTGTACAGACTGACTCAGCATACTGTGACTGCACATGACTATAGCCTTAACTTATTCTATGTTCTCCTAATTTGTGCTTTTAACAGAATGATATATGCATTTTGTGTTGCTGGTCTGCTGCCATTAGGTTTTGTGTGGATCTGCCAGATGCTTGCAGGATGAAGAGGAGAAAATTAGAATGTGGTTTTACAATCACAAAGACAAAAAGAAAAGAGTTTTGTACACCAACAAATTCTCAGTTCTTCTCTCAAAACAGTTATTTTCTCAAAACAGTGAGATTTCTTCCTGTATTAATCAGCTTTATGAGCAATTAACAAGAAAATTTTGGAACAAGGTTCATAGTTGGATAAATAAAGTTAAAAAGATTGTCTGTCTAATCTCCAGACATTTCTAAATTTAATGTTCTAGTTCTGTCAGAAAAATAATAAAGTACAAAAACTATTTACCTATGAGAAACAGATTTAAATATTCATTGCCTCCTAGATTGACAGAACTCAGGGAGAAGACGTAGTACCCCAGGCTCCCAGTGAACCAGACCAGCCAGATCGTGATGGTCCTTCTTGCAATGTACCAATTACAAAACAGATCTAAGATGGTGTGCTTCTTGGTTGAGGATGCACCACTGCCACTTGTTCTGTCAGTGCCTGGGTCATCTTGTTGGACTGAGCACAGTTCAGACACTTTGCAGGAAGTGCTTACTTTGTTCCACCTTGCCATTATATTGATTACTTTTTGTGCATCTTCATATCTTTTCTCTGATAGCAGCCACAAAGGTGTTTCTGGAAGCATCCAGCAGCACAAGACAAAGGGAAGAGTTGCTATGGAGAGAAATATCTGATACACCCACCAGGTCCGAACCAAAAATCCCACGAGTGCCACAACCATAATTCCCAAAGCAAAAAAAGCATGGACATGCATAGAAGCCCAGGTTCGTGCTTTAATGCCAACAAATTCAGTCACATAAACAAAAGCCACAACCAGATAGCCACTTGAAACCTGGGGAATGGAGAAAGAGAAAAAAAAAACAGTGTGAGGTTTTTATCTACTTTTCTTGTGCAACAGGTAACTGCATTCCTCATTTGAGTACATTTAACTGGCACTGTGCTGACCTGTTACTCAGCAACAGAAAAAAGGCAAACCTGAAAACAAATCACTTGGACAAAAAACCTCATTCAAACTTTCAGAATACCTGGGAACTGGGTTTTAAGACGTGATGTGCTTTAGGACGCTTCCCTTTAGTGTGCAGAGCCAGTAAGAGACACCTGAAAAAGTACCTAACTAGCTGTCATCACTTCCAAAAATCAAGTCCTTAACGACATCACAAACTGGGCACTCAGGAAAATAGTCTCCCAAAGTAACTGCCACTTCTGAAAACCTCAACCTTGGCTTTTAAGTAGACTAATACTAATCTGCATGTCACAGACAGCACATTTGCTGAGAATTACCTTTCATACTCCTGTAAATATCATTATATCAAATTTTTACAGTTGGAAGAGAAGCACATTTTCAGAGTTACAGGTTCTTATACAGATCTAGCTATACTGATAGAATGGAATTACTGACATATTCTTCATTGAAGGATTTTTTCTTTGAATATATATCTTTATATATATCTTACATGTATTTCAGTTTTGCTAGTAACACTCTAAACTCTTGTTAACTTAAAACATTTCAGAACACATCTAGAATTCTAGCTAGAAAATATTCCAGTATATTATTTTGATTACTCAAATCAAAAAATCTATTTTCTGGTTACAAATCTTCCATTTGATAAACCCTTGTCTGTGAACCCACTGAAGCTGACAGGAAAGCTGCACTGATCTCAGTGGTGAAGGATTACAGTTTCACATCTCCTCTCAAATCTACTCCCAGTGGGCAGTTAAGACCTATGGCATCTGTTTGGTCAGAGTTTTTTGCTTTTATAAATTACCACAGCCCCTAGCATCAACACCAGGGAAGTGAATCCTGGTGATATCACTGTTCAAGGCTGAAATCCCCATGCAGTTTTCTTGCTGGGAAACCTTTCTGTGCTGTAATCAGGCAAAGGCAGGTCCAGCTACAATGTCCTCTCTTGACTGCCCACAGGAATATATTAAATTATGTGATTAATTTCAAATTTCCAACCTCCTTTAAGTAACTTATATCATTTTTCTTCTGACAGCTTTCTAATGTCTTGATGCATTGTATAATGAGAGATTATTAATATACTTTTGGATGTAAAAATCAGTTACCATGTATACCTTATATAGATATATGGATATCTATGTATGTATAGATATACTTAGACACATATACTGGAACATCCTTAAGTACAGTATGAACACCTAAGTGCTAAACATGTCTACCTATTTATTTAGTACTTCAGATGTAGTTTAAAAGACCAAAGAGATGCATAGAAGAGAAAAAGTGCATCTCTCCTCCATCAATGCAAGTGGCAGAGACAAAAAATCATACTCATTATAGATTTGTTATTTTAAGAAATATGTACTCCGTTTGTAACAGCAAGGAGAAATGCAATGCCAGTTGCAATGTAAAAACCAGAGTTCACTGCTCACACTTGGTATTTAATTACCAGTCCAGCAGAGGTTGGGATGGAGGAGGTACCAAACACTGCTTCATACAGATGCTTTCTATTAATTCAAAGAGGAAAAGTGCTGTGGTCCAAGAACATTCAGACTCTCCCTGCTCTGCTGAAATAAGTGCAACAGATGGGGCTTTAGAATAATGAAGTAGAAGAGGAAATAAGAAAAAAAGGGGTTTTCCTGAGAAGGGTAAGGAAAGGACACATGAAAGAGCCAGTGAGCTCCTTTCTTACCATAGCAAGGAGAAAGCGAACAATCACGAAGCTGTAGTAGTCAAACGTGAATGCCACTGTGATGCCAAATACAAACTGACCAGCACTTGTGAACCACATAACGCGCTGTCTTCCCAGTCTGTAAAGCACAGCAGCAATAAAATGATGAGCAACCATAAACATTCCATCAGAATAAAACTGCAACTGCAGAGAGCCTGTCTGGAAATGAGTCTGAAAATACTGTACCTAAGGCTCTCACTCACCAAAAGCACTCTGCATTACTTTCCTGTATTTTCCTTGCCATATGTAGAATAGAAAATTTCTATTTCTTTTCAATAATTCCAACTAAACTCAAGGAAAATGGAAACTCCTGGAGTTCTTGCCAGAACTAAGTTTTACAAGTGACATTATATTGCTCACATAACAGTGTCAAGGTTAACTGCCCAGTAACTAATCTGCAGATTTACTCTGTCTTATTTATGAAGTCAGTACATAAGATTTGCTTTTTCAGATATTCATTTGCAAACAACAACACCTCATAGCTCTTTCCAGCACCCTCTTTATTTGGTCTTTCACCATCTTTCACCAGCCCTGACCAGGAAGATGTGTGAGGAAGGAGTCATTACACACATCTGGTTTTTGACCCTTGCCAGAAGAGCTCCCAGTGGGTCCCAGCTGGCTCTTCTGTTGGGAAATCTGTTAATTGGGAATGGGAGGAACCCACAAACTTATTTCTCACCAGCCAGAATGTGTCAGAAAATAATAACTTTCAGCTGTAAAATCCATAGTTGTAAATCTGCAACTCAGGATGTATTATCTCAACTGACTGTTCATGGCTTAAATTAATTGAAATGAGAACAATATGAACCTAGCTTCATAAATCATGTCTGGGTATTAATTAATAAAGCAATGGCTTATTAAAGAGACACAGAACAAATGTTGGTATTATATTCTGGCTTTGTATTAAATGAGGTTTTACAAAGCCTTGAACTGAGAAGAAAGATTGATTCCATGTGTTCCAGAAGACAAACTAAAGGAAGATCATCTTTTGGCATTCCCACATTGCCAGACCAAAATGCTGTACTAATGAAGGAAAACCAGAGAACAACGTGCTTGGCCTCCTTTTGCTCCTCATAGTGTTTGCTGTGGAACATATCTTCACCCTCCACCTAACAAACAAGCTCCTCTAGAGAAAGAGATGCATAACACTAAAGGAGTCTTCAAATCAAAATACAAGTATATAAACTGTTCAGGACAGTACAGTGTAGCTTAGGAAACTAAATGTCATATGAGGAGACAGGCACTAGGCATCTAGGCATCCTGGATCTCACTGCCACTTCTGAGACTATCTGTGAAGCTGGCTCTCAGTGCATGATCTCAGAAAACAGCAGGGGAGGCAGAGCCATAGGGGCCAAATGAAGGACAGCCTTGGCACAGTGGTCACAGGAATGCTCTGGTGGGGGCCCTGAGCTTGCTTTGGTTTTCCTTTGGTTCAGGCAGAGCTCTGGTCATGCTGGTAAGTAGGTGGAACCACAGCAAAGCACAGCAGTGACCCTTTTTACTTCTGTCTGGACGAACCTTCAGGAGGCAGAAGTTTAATCTCACCTTTCAGGCAAAGAATGCAATCAGGCAGCAAGGAAAAAAAAAATGGGCTTGCTCAATCCCTCAAAGCCTTTGCATCAGTCCCAGAGAGCTGTATTTGTGGCAAAGGTCAGGTCATTTTTTGTTTCAAAATACATGGGTTTTAATCCTCCTGTAGTCCTCAAGCAGTTCAGCATATCCAGAGAGAAACAAACGCTATCATGAGGAATCTCTCCTCGTGGAAAACAAGAACACTTACTCCCAGGTTTTACTTTTGATATTTTTACCATTCCTCTTAAAAAAAAAAAAAAAGTAAGTCTTTGGACAAAATGCTAGCTGCACAGTGCAATTTGAGGGACCAAGCCTAGAGCAATGGATAATATAAAGTAGGAAATAAATTCCAAAAGCAAATGATTAGCAAAGACACTGGAAAATTAATACTTGCTATATGAACAAGAAACTGAGTTTCTTTTTCTGAATAAACAACATTGAAACCTGACTTTGTACACAACGAATGAAAACAACAGAACAGGTACACAAGCACAGAGTTACTGCAGTCTGAATGTACAATGCTCAGAGGATGACACTTTACCTGTCAGCAATGTCACCAAAAATCACCGCTCCAACCAAGACTCCAAGCATGAACGTAGGCTGGATTAATTTTGCCAGCCATTCTCGGTCACAGACCAGATCCCACTGCGTAACAACAGTGCTCTTCCATTTTGTATCGTCATAAAGAAATCCATCAGAACAAGAAAATATGGACTTGTTGCCTTTATATTCATACTCTAGGTCAAAACTGACTTCTCGTTTGGACTTGCTGCATTGATTAAGTTCCCAGATTTCTCCATTTTCCAGCTGGGCTACAATGTAATTTTCTGTTGATGTCCACGTTGTCCAGATGTCCTCTAGACTTGCTTTAGAGGAGTTGTAGAAGAGAACGCTACTCACATTTCCAGGGATCCCACATACAAAGTTAGGTGTAACAGCCATGAACACAGATGCTAAGTAATGGATGCCACATGACATAGCTTGAAAGACAGATGCAAAATACACACATGCTTGAAATCTGCAAAGGGAAGTAAAAACGGTTTACTGAAGGAAAGCTTTTTATAGACACAAAACCATCAACACAATTATTTTGCTAGGATCAGTCCAGTGATTGCGGCAAAGTTGTAAATGGAAGCATTATCTATTTCCAGTGGTTTGTTCTGTAGCATGGCTTCAAGATAAGCTAGGCCTTGCAAGAAACAATGATAAGAAAAGAAGCAGTCTGTCCTCTGGAAATACCAGATAACTCTTTTGTCAAAAAGCCAATACTGCTCTTAGCTATGTGTATGACTGCACAGAGAAGACCATTTAAAAAGAATCAATTCTGAGCTTCAGTGTGAAGTTGGAAGCAACCTCCCAGCTCCAACCCCATCAAAATCTCCGAAAAGATGACCTGAGGTTACAAGAATGGTCAGAGAAACCAGAATGTTGCAATCTCGGCTCCTCAGGGATAGAGATATGCATGTCAAATAGCACAAAGCAAACACATTATGCCCTTCATTTCTCTTAATTGTATCCATTTACCTCTACTCCATCTATCTTCTACCTTGCTTTGTCATCTCAGAAAGATGAAGAGATAATACATGTAGGTGTGTAGAGGAAGAATCTGAAGGGTGAAAAGCTTTGTAAAAGAACATAGCTGTAAATCTGGGGGGGGTCTGGCTTCAGCAGTGTGCAGTTATGTATAAAGATGGTATCGTAAAACAAACATAGTAAAAGAATGTTTTATGTATAGCCTGAAGTTTGTCACTTTAACAGCTTTTAAAATATGCTTGAGATGCAAGCAAGTCTCTGTGTATAAAATGCACACATATTCTGAATGTCAAAAGACTTGCAGTAAACTATTATCACTCACTGCAAATTCTAGGAGATTCTCACAGTCTAAACATAAGGAATCTCTTCCTCTAATAACTATTAAAATTATGCACAGAATTAGTAAAACATTTGCTCAGGGAAAACAAAACAAAACAAAATGTTATGGCTTTGGTTTCTCCTTTCACTTTTTATTTACTGGAAATCAACCAGTTGCACAAATTTGAAGAAGCGTTGGGTGAGTTTCTACACATACATCCTTAATGCAGCATACGCTGGATCTGGATAGCAGGAAACAAAGAAGAGCTCTTTAAAACATGGTCAGAGGCCGTCTCTGCTGAAGTTATGCCTAAAAAACAACTGCCTTGAAATGTCACGTGCCTGTAACAAACACAAATTCCAGATCACCCCCTACTAACGTGAATGCAATCTAGCCTTGAATTCTTCTGATAAGGTTTACAACACAACCTAGCCTAGGACTTTTAATCATCTATCATCACAATTTCTAATGAATTTCTAAACAACGCAGAGCCAAAGTAATTAAATACATTGTGCTGTGTTCAGTGTCCAATTAATCTTTCCAATGGAAAAGTTCTGTTGTGTAGTCTAACTCCTCTCACCATCCCCATCTCTCAGAATCACTAGATGGCTGAGGCTGACAGAGACCTCTGGGTCCATCTGGCACAACCCCTGCTCCAGCAGGGACACCCAGAGCAGGTTTTTCAAAAGCAGGCTTTTGAAGATCTCCAAGGAGAAGACTCCACAGCCTCTCTGGGAAGATCTGTCACCCGTACAGCACAGCAGTGCTGCCTGCTCTTCAGACAGAACCTCCTGTGTTCCAGTTTGTGCCTATTGCCTCTGGTGCCGGCACTGGACACTATTGCAAAGAGCACAGTTCCACCTTCTTTGCACTGTATTTGTATGCATTTTTGTTTGTATGCATATAGCTCTACAGATTTTTCCACAGCAGTCTGAGGAGAGGGCCGGATGGCTAAGTTCACAGTGGCAGCTCAGTAAGCTGGGCTCCACTTCCCTCTTGAAGACTCTCACAAATGTTGTGCTCTTTCCCATCAGACAGTGTGAGAGAGACGGTCAAGAGAAACTGGACATAACCAGAGCAACCCTTAAACCTATCAATCCTCTGTCAGTACAGCTTCTGGAGAACTAGATAGCTACCCATAAGCAAGAGTGAAACTGCTCCGAAAGGCTTTTGAACAATATTGAACTACCCAAAAAACAAAGGTTATCCTTTGTCCCCCTGTTAATACAGAGAAATATGGTTAGTAATATTTATTAATTTATCTTCTTCAGTGCTATTTTAACTGCAACTGTTCTCAACAAAAGAGAAAAGCTATTTTTAAAAATAGCAGAGCAAGAGCTAATTCAGAAACTTGGGCTACTGTTGCAGGATGCAAAATGGGATGACATCAGAACTAGATGACCTCTAGCAGATCAGCAAATTAAAGCCCTAGAAGCAATGCAACTACATCTTCCACTAGCTAATAAAGAGTGGCATACCTAGAACCAGGATGCCCAGTATGTGCAATATCTGTCATTACACATGAAGAAATTGTAGTGTCAGACAGCCCAGTTGTTATTTCCCAGACACAGGTAAAACAAAATAAATTCAGACTCCCATACATTCATCTTGAGCTTCCTAATTAGCTCTTCCAGCATAGAAAACATCAAGTTCATCACCTCTCTTCTAGAGCCCGTAAAAGTGAGAAAGAAAAAGACATTTATGCTCTTTCTTGTTGGAGAGCTTTGAAGGAAGACAAAAGCCTGTTGAATATAGGCTGAGAAGATGGCAGGAACAAATGCACTGTATTATTTCTGTAAAACCTAAATCCCAAGAGCATAACCAGGGCTGTAATTTTGATCAGTCCTAGCTAATCTCTGCACTAACTTCACCCTTGAGAGTTTCACCGTATATCTTCCTGAACACCTTTTATGATTGCACTTCAATAACCATTTTGACAGACTGCTCCACTGTCAAAGCATTCTGTTGGAAAATTCCTCATTAAATCTAATCTCCATGTCCCCTTTTTTAATGTGAGATTATTAGCCGCTTATGAAACATCCTTGTGCAACCTTGAATAAATCTTCCTTGTCTTTTATCATTTTTTCATAGAGAATTATCAGATTTCCCCTCTGGTTGCTTTGTAAGACTAAGCAAGTTACAATCCCTTACCCCTTCCTCATTTTTCCACTGTGTCCTACTGAACAGTGTCCACCTTTACAAAAAGCAATAAAGGATTTATTTTACAGAAATATCTGTGCCATGCAACATTTCTCCCATCTTTCAAGGGCTTAACTTAAAACTAGATGTAACTGGTTCTTGTAAAAATGTTCTTCAGTTTTCAGTGTTACAAAAATCTTATTCAGTTCCAACAAAGAAATCTGCTCTGCAATGTAATTTTTTTTCTTACCTCATTTGTAGCACCTATGCTAAGCAAACACTAAAAGTAAAATAGAATTCCAGAGGGGTGGTAACAGACATAATGTATGCCATTTCTAACTAGTGTGTGAAAAGTGTGTTTTTACAATAAGTAGTCATGCTGTTGCTGAATCCTGAAGGATGGACCGCACTGCAGTTTTTAACCTCTCTCAGCTGAATAAAAAAGCCAAGGAGCAGGCAGAGGAAGCGGGAATATGAGAGAATACAGCTGGATGTGAAGCTACAGACGTGTCTGGCAGCACCAGTGGCTGAAGGCAACCCACAGCCCTGCCTCCGCGCTGAGTGGCTGCTTTTCTGTCTGTAAAAGCTCCCTACTGTTCTCTCCAGTAAAATTCCACAATGGGCTGGCTAGGGCTCACTCTGAAAATATGTACAACCCCAAAACCTGAAAGCTCACCTTTGCTGTGAAGGCAAAATTCATGGCTGACTACAGTAGTGTATTGATGGCATCTTCTCTGCCAATGCCAGATTGAAACACTCAACCCTGTGAACTGGTGAGTTTCTCCTGTGGATACCAGGAGCTTTGTTTCTAGAAAGCCTGAATGCACAGAGGTCAGGAAATTGGATAACTCGCATAGTCACCAAAAAGGAGTTAATTAGGCCATCAGTGACAATACATAGAAAGCATGAAAAGTATGTAAGGAGGATGATACGTGGGATGGAAAAGTACTATAGACACATTGAACTTCTCTTGCCAGGGCAGCTGCAGATTGACAAAAGACAGAGAAAGCCATGGGCCCAGTCACGTGTGGTAGACAGAGGTTTGCTAAAACAGCAGACAGTGCTGAGCAAGGGGGCACACAGAGATGCTCCCTGCTCCATTGCTAGCCAGGCCCACTCCTTCTGAACAACTGGGTGTCCTAGGACACATCACTGCTCTTCCCAGCCTTAAAATCCTGGGTCTGTATTTTGGCCCACACTCAGGCAGCATCTCTTCTTTGTGGGAGGACGGCCCGCAGCCTGGGGGCCCTGGGCATTCCGTGCAGCAAGCTGTGCTGGGGCAGGAGGTGACAGCAGAACCCCTGCACTTTGCTGACCCTGGTTAAAGTCTATGCTGTCTTTGCTGTCTGCTGTGAATGATTAACTCTTTCCCTAATTCTTGAGTTAAGAACACTGGACAGATAAGAAACTCGTCTATTAATAAGCTTAAATCTCTCAACCGCAGGCTCATGTAATGTAATCCTTTTAGCAAGCTTACCAACTCCATTTTAAAAGTTAATTTCCCTGACATAAGAGATACTGCTGCTCACGCACTGAAACGTTAAGAAAATAGAACTGCAGCAGCAATAAATACAACCAGCATTCACCAAAAGAAGGCAAAGCTTCTCTCAGCAAAGTCTGTCATCTGTTTTCCTCTACTGAACTCAAAAAAGGCAGTCGCTGGAAAGGATATTTTATATGCCTGTTACCTTCACATACACATATGGATTAGGTAAAGTATATTGTTGCAAGGAATACTTTATGTGGGTTTTTTTTTATTTAAAAATTTTATTTTTTATTTTTAAGATCTGTGAACATGAAGACTGTCCTAAAAACTACAATAATCTCTGGCTTTTCACAGTATTTTTCCGTCTCTTCAGTGACTTGCCACAGGAGATAATTATTTGGCAAGTACATTTTGTCACTCTTGCCAGGAGTGTCAAATATAGAAGTCAAGAAGACTTTGTAGGTTACTGCTCCAGTGCAGAGGCACTTAATGAATGCCAGAAGTCAAATGAGCATAAAACTGTCTTCATAAAAGCTTGAGCAAGACACAGCATGAAAATGTGCCAGTCCTTCTTAAAGTATTTTGTGAAATTTCTCCCCGGTTATTCTTTTTTTAAGTTTGCAGCTTACAGTAAAAATAGAACACCTTCATATTTTCTGATCCGTCTGCATAAGTTTTATGACCTAAGAAAAGCAAATTTTAATATCATAATTTCAGTTCCTGAATTGAAGAAACACTAAGGATAATGAACTAAATCCCAGACCACTGTCACTGTGGCTATCATCTCATGACACAACATACCCTGTGGCACTGTCCTGGTAAGTTATTTCTTCCCTTCTCCTTTCCCACAGTTTATTTATTCCCTCAGACATAGCGATCCCCTGAGAATCTCCTCAGTTGTGATGGTACTTTTTATGCGGACCAGCTGCAAATTTTATCTGGGAAACTGATCTAACTTGGAAAAAAAAAGATGTCAAAAGAGACAATTTTAAAAAACAAACAAGCCAGATCAGTTGTTTGATCTAATCTCCACTGCATCCACACAAGCACTCAGTAGCAGCCTAATTGCAGGGTGGTTCATCTGGGAGGCAATATCTGAAGTAGACACTGCCACGTGTCAGCTAGAGGGCAAGTCCTTACCTCAGAGAACTTTTACTATTGCCAGTTATTGCAGTGCACACCTGAGACAAAATGTGTTGTTAGACAATAATTCAAAATGTGTTTTTTGACAATTTTATGTAACACAAAATATTTTCCAGACAAAACTTGTTTTCTTGTCTATCCATCAAAGAGAGGAGAAGGGGAATTGATGGCAAATCTATTAGATGCTCCTTAAAAGCTAGTATAATACTTTAAAAAACCTTCCACTGGAGGATAGAGTCACACGGTTGATCTATGATTAGCAAACACTTGCACTATTCTACAGGATTTACGAGAACTATTTTTACTGTCTGCATTTTCAACCACCCTGTTAGCAAACCAGAGCAAAGACAGAAAACACAGCATGTTGCTGTTGTGCAGTATACACTCAACAGCATGGCTTCAGTGAAATGAAACTGCCAGATACTTACCGTTTCTAAAAGAATTTGTGTTTAGTGACTATTTACAGTTCTGAATCCCACTTCTTGTTTTTTTTTTTTTTTTTAATGTGAGAAAAGCCATTCAGCATTCTTCCCACTCTAAATCAACAAGCTGTGATTACTTACATTTACACATTTACTTTTTTATAGGAGCTCAATGAGACACAGAAGTATTTTTGCTATGATACAGAGGTGCAGATTTGGAATCAGTCTTAAATATACAACAGACCTAGCCTTGCTTGCCTTACAGAGACAAAAGTTTGGGTGTTTTAAACTATGCAAATGATAGTCCCAGCACACATCAGCAGGAGGGTCGTTTCCAGAATCTGTACTCAGGAGGAGAAGACACTGTGTTGAATGCAGTTAAATGTACCAACAATACAGGTACAATACAGGTTTCTTATTCCAACAGGAATAAGAAAGCCTCCATCATTGTGACAATATGCACTGTGCAGCAACATGCATTCACTGAACCAAAAATCATTCTTTCAGTATTTTAAAACCGATCTTGTGAAGGATTCCACTTCTATCATTTCATTATGGATCTGCATCTGAGCATCAGAAGAGCAAACTCAGTCAAAGTAAACGAATTCCAGCTTTAGTTATATAAGAAAACATTTTCCATCTACACTAGCAACCTTTTCTACTATAATTTTATCTACATGCATCATTTTAACATTACCTCGAAGAGTCATTAAAAAGACACTGTTGTCAGCTACCATAAAAAGTGTTACATGAGATATATCTCCAGTACTGCAAGAAGAATATCATTAATTGTTTTATTATCTTTTGGAAATGGTTATCTTTTGCTGCAACTATGGCAGGTCCTTTGTATTGCAGTGTCTATGTAAATAACTTTTGACATGAGCACCAGGACAGGAAGAAAACTCTCCTTAAATTAAAGCAAATAACAAAAGTTTTGTCTGTAAATTCCAGTGTAATTAAATTAATTTAATTTTATATATCCTGGGAAATGAGTAAAGGTATGGTTAAAAATAATAATAATAATAATGCTGGAAAAAAAAGATACTTTCTACTCAAAATCTTTAATCTTTTCCAATAAGAGGAAGTGAACTTTCTCTTTTTGCCATATTACAAACATATTGCTAGTATTTGTTTTCCTTTTCGACTGCAGCAAGCAAATGTCAATCATGAGAAGATTCCGTAATTACTAACTGCCATTTTTTTTTTGCCTCTCTTGAACTCTCCACCTAACTTTGGTTTTATATGTTTTTCTATATATCTCTAAGTCTGAAATTTAAGGAAAATCAAAGCTGCTTTCTGTTGCTTTGTATTGCATTACTCGATTTTGGTTAACTGAATGTATTCTGTTATTAATTACACAATACTCAAAAATGTATTAGGAACTGCTATTCATTATAATCCCCTTTTTTGTTCAGACACTTTTAATACTCTTACAGCGACATGTTTACCTTCTCCCTGTAGAGTTTAGTTACAACTGTATTGAACTTCTGAACATCCCTATAACCTTACACATCATGAAGAGCAACCAACTCCTGACCATCCTTTCTAATACCAAGACATGACAGCGTAGGTATAAGACACAAACCCATTCTGTTTCCTGGGCAGGGATTCCATGTTTCACTGCCTACATCCAGAACTGCTCCTGCAGCTTTCATGAACCCACAGTTGCTGAGATATAAAACACTCAAAGGCCAGCATGTTTCCTATTTTACAAAATAATTAAGCCTTACTGCTGTAATAGTTAAAAGGAACTGTGTTTTCCAATCCCTATTCATAACAATGCCTAAGAAAATTTAGACAGCTCATTTTCAGTCCTGAATTCTTTTTTTCTATTTTTTTTTTTTTTTGGTCATGCCACATATTGTTAACCAATACAGATTGGTTCTAGATGAGAAATCTAATTGTTCCCCACTAGGAAAATGTTTATAAAACTTCTCATTCTTCATTGAGTTTCAGAAGACCTCCTGTGAAAAACTATAACAAGTAAGACTAACAAATTCAAGCACACTGGATGACTCTTCAATAACATGTCTTCTAAAATCTGAGACAAAGTCAATATAAACATCATGGAAAAGCAACTCAATTTCAGCCAGAGATTCTCTGCTGAAAAAAAAAGTTACAATTCCCCATGCATATTCATGCAGATTTGATGACATGCACTGTGTGGTATGGTCTATGTATCGTTCCTTATTTATCTATTCTCTTGGCTCTTCTGAGGCCACGTGGTCTGTCCCACCGATATTCTGTCTCCTTAGCCAGTTTAGTATCCCTAATTGGCTGTATTCTCCAAGACATGGCAAGTTATCTCTACACCAACATTTAAGAAGATTACTGAGCACAAGAAGACTTTTAGCTTCTTCTGCAGGTTCCCAACCCACCTTTCCTCCAAACTGCCCCTCTTTATTACAAATATATAACCTACTCTGGATAGAAGTGCTCAGTTACTTCTCCTTCAGTGGTGAATCAGCCTCACAGGACCTTCCCAAATGAATGCAGAGCTTTTCAGTTCGTTTTGCATTGCTTAGCAGCCTGGCCATGATCCTCTGTCCAGTTTTTATTTAAACTTCTTCCAGTTTTCACTGTTGGATCCTGATTCTGTTAACCTAACTGATTTCAGGGGACAAGAAAATATTTCTGTGTTCTCTCCTCTAAGAAGAACTGTGGAAACATAGAATAGCTTGGATTAGAAGGGATTTTAAAGATCATCTAATTCTACCCCCTGCACGGGCAGGGCTGCCATTCACCAGCTTAGGCTGCCCAGGACTCCATCCAACCTGGCCTTGAGTGCCTCCAGGGGTGGGGCATCCGTAGCTTCTCTGGGCAGCTATGTCAGTGCCTCACCACTTCTGAGTGAAAATTTTCCCCCTAACATCTAATCAAAATCTCTTCTCCTTTAGTTTAAAACCATTCCCCTTTGTCCTATTACTATCAGATTGCATAAAATGTTGGTCTCCCTTCAAGTACTGGAAGGATGCAGTGAGTTATCCCCAGAGCCTTCTCTTGTCCAGGTTAAACAAGCCCAGCTACCTCAGCCTTTCTTCATAGAAGAGGTGCTCCTACTCTCTTGGTCACCTTCATGGCCCTCCTCTTGACTCCAAAAGTTCCACATCTTTCTTGTACTGTGGCGCCCAGGTCTGAATGCAGTGCTCCAGATGGGGCCTCAGGAAGGCAGAGCAGAGAGGGATAATCACCTCGCTCTCCCTGCTAGCCACACCTCTTTTGATGCAGTCCAGGATACTGCTGACCATCAGGGCTGCAAGTACATCTTGCTGGCTCATGTCAAGCTTTTCATCCAACAGATTCTTCAGGCCATTCTCTGCAGGGCTGCTCTCAATGATTTCTTCTCCCCTATCTGGGATCTCCCAGATCACGACAGCTTGCACTCGGCGTCATTTATCTCATTAGGTTCATGTGGGCCCTTTTCTCAACCTTCTCCAGGTCCCTTTGGATGGCATCCCTCCCATTTTATCAACTGCACCACTCAGTTTAGTTTCATCAGCAAACTTGCTGAGAGCACACTCAATCCCACTGCCATTGACAAAGATGAAAATGAAGACCCAAGACTGAAACTGGGACTGAAGACTGGGAGAAACCATTCATGACTGGTCTCCACACAGACAATGAACTGTTGACCACAACCCACTGGCTGCAACAACCAACCAATTCTTTTTCCACAAAACAGTCTTCCTTTCAAATTCATATGTCTCTAAGTTAGAGATAGGGATGAAGGCAAGAGTTCATGCAATAGGCCTTGAGCAAGTCCAGGTAGATGACATTAGTTGCCCTTGCTTTGCCCACCAATGTCATCACTCCATCATAGAAGGCCACCAGAGGAAAATTACACATTGTTGAGCACATACATTAGATGAAACATCAAGAATCAATTTAATCGATCTTGGGTATTTAAAATACTGCCTTTCATTTTAATTAGACAAAGAGCTTATTTACAACCTGGCCATTTATCTATTCCATCACCAACAAACAAGAGTTATTTTACATTGTTCTTGATTTCCTAGTGAAAAGCAGACACCTTTCAATTTCTTGTCATAATCTAAATTAAAAACAAAGAAATACAAACCACATATTTTACTTTTGTCACTCTTCCAAGGTCACAAATGCACTTTAATACCTTCCTAACATGTTCTGTAATGTTCTTTTACCTTGTTATCCTTTCACAGCAGTGTCAGGTGTGTTCTTGAGTCTTTATCTTACGGTACAAAGGAATGAACTAGAACACTGCTGTTTTCTAACCTTACATACGTTTTTGCAAGAAATGCAGAGTGTTCCATTCTCCACAAGAATACAACAAAAAAAACTGGATTCTGCTCAGACCTGCCAGGTTTCTTCTTCACAGATCTATTTTTGTACTATCTGCACCCATTGTAAATGGATAAGAGACAGAACAAAGATCAGCTACCTTGAACTACTAAGGACTACAGCTTTGCAAGGAGCCTAAGAAGCAAGTGTCAGTGATAGGAGGTTCCAATTGCTCTAACCCTGGACCAAACAAGAACTCTCTCTCAGAAGGGTGGAGTTGAAAGAAGTTTCTTGCCATTTCCCATCTCTCCTGATATAAACCAGATCCAAAGATCCAAACACCAAAAAATATCCAAATAGCAATTTCTTTTGGAGTCTGAGACACAAAGAGCTATTTAAGTGAAATGTGGTCTCATCAGTATAATTTCACTGTAAATTCAGTAGTTTCATGGCAGAATATGCTTTTGAATATTGCTTATTTATTACTGCTTATTTTTCACCTCTCATACTTGACTTTCTCTCCAGACGGACATTCAAATGAAATGTAATGTTACAGATATTTATTTATAGAGCAAAGGCTATCTGAACAGTACATCAATAGTATCATTTTCTGATTTTTCACCAAGAACAAAAAGATCTATGCCTGCAATTTAGAGGCTAGAAAACCCACATACTTTTGCCTACTGTGTTTCCAGAACAGCTTTGATTCCTTCTCTCTGATCTTAATGTTGGCATTTCAAATTCTGGCCTTATTAGAATTGCTTGTATTCAAGGAACTGACAACAAGTATTGCTGATGGAAAGCTATCGAGGTATCAAGCATTGCAGCGGTAGTGCTGCTACATATTTGACAATCTTTCTTATGTTTGACATAGAGCAGAGTGGTGCAAACACTATGTTACCTGCTTTGTGTTGATTTGATAGAAAGATACTGGCTAGTCCTGTGACACAGAAAGTATGTTGCCAGAAGTATCTCCCACATCCCAACCTTCTAGCTAAGCCTTAACTAGTTGAATAAGTTAGACTTTGGATGTATACCATACATTTGGAGGCAATGTATTGTGTATGGTACGCATCCATACCCATTTATACTTATCTAGATTCCCTTTTCACTCAGTGCAGAAGCACAGACAAATATAGAAGCCTCATTCATCCGGTTCAGAAGCACTCACTGAAAATAAGTCAGATGAATCACAACTTTAAAGAGCCTCATTATCTTTGCTAACAAGGTGACTAAGGAAGATGTTTGAAGTTTGTACTACATGCCTGTAATGCTGGTGAGCTCATCTTTATTTCTTTATTTTATTTACACTATTGAGCCTTGATTTGGACAGCTAACTTCTTCCTCACAGAGCTAACACAGACAGGATGGATGGATCAAATGGGTAAGCAGAGCCTTCCAAATCTTTTTCACAGTTTAGACAGGAGAAGAGGTTGCTGAGATGGTACTGTGCTCCATCCAAGTGTGATGCTGAATACTTTTCATAAAGCAGTATAGATCATATTTTTTATAGACCAGTTTCCTGAGCGTTCTTTCTGGTATTTGTATTCTTCTTCCTGCCTTATCAGCCCTTTCTATCTACTCTCCAAGCTGTGTCCTTTATTCCCATCTCAGCACTGGTGAGGCAGCACCTCCGATGCCAGACAACTGTAATGCCTCCAAATAATGGGAAGAGGAATCCCAGCTTCTCCTCTTAGTGAAAACGTTGTCTTGAGGAAAGAGCTCAGTCTCCGATCCAACCAATGGCTCATCTAGATTCCTGAAATCACCTTTCATTTCACATGAACTTCAGAGAACATCTGGTTTGAGTGAGCTGAGCAGTACAGTTGGGCTATCAGTGTATGATACTAAAGCATATATTAGCTTTCTAGGCAATTTCAGTATTTTTCAAAGAAATGGGATTCCTTCCCAAGTTATATGCACTGTCAGATCCGCCATTATGAGCACTTGTAAGTCTCTGTCCTGTACAGTTTGTCATCACACTGTTTCTAATCTTGGTCTTTGAAATGGAGACCTCAGTTGAAATTTTTTATGTATCGCTAATTTTTCTCAAGCAACCTGAAATAAATTGTCAGCTATGCACATATTTCAGTTCTGCTCTTGTTGCGTATGGCAGCATGTTAGCACAGAAATTTTTATAGCATGTGCTGAACGTTTCTGGGACCTTCAAAGAATTCCTTAAATTTAATACTATATTGTACTTGAATCATTTCACCTCCTGCAATATACTGGCCAAGCTTCTCATGAGCAAGTCCATTTTATAAAACATTTCCTTCCAACTTGGGGGAACTTTTGTACTGTAGAATATCATGACCATCATGAAAAAATTATTCACAGAGCTTTCATAGAAGCAACAGAGCTTTCACAGCAGCGATATACCAGGCACCAAAATCACAGGCAACACACTTGGTAACACACACTGTTACAATCTGCTTACTCCCTCCAGAAGCAGGTGGGGAGAAGTTGCCAGCACATTCTGATGCAATGCAATCTTGTCTGTGCAGATCCTGCGCTAGGATGCCTCCAGCATGATCTGGATCCCAGCAACTACAGCGAGTACCTCTTGCAGACAGCACTGCTAGTGCATCAACCCCATAATCCAGGGGCACTTGCCAATGTCCACCTTTGGTTCTGAGCCCTGAAGATATTTCTACTTTTGCCTGGTCAGGCATAGATAATAAGAGCTTTGTTGAAGCTACTAGAGTCTGCTCTGTGAAAACACATGGCTTGTCTCACTTCTCCGAGGCTATTATGATGCCATTCCACCAGTGGGATCAAGTGCCTTTTACAGAATATCAGGATACTCAAAAAAAAAAAAAAAAAAAAAAAGCAATTATTCCTAAAATGCAGCTAGGATGCAGCTAGGTCCACTTATTTTAGCCCGTGGGCACCTGAGATAAACATAGGCTGATTCAGACATAATATAGTACAGTTATAAAGCTGAAGAATATTTCTCAAGCATTCCTGCCAAACACCACCTCTGACTAGGAGCCAAAGGAGGACTTAGATTTGAGATTCTTCTCTCTGGCACATTCCAGTAAATGCAAACAGCTGTCCACAAACACATTTTCAAAACTGAATGAAGACACATTGCTATAAACTTGTCCATTGTATAAAATAGCTAGCATGCATCCAGCTAGCAATCTCAAAACCACAGTATTTTGCTCATTTTTGCAAAATGTAAAATTTTAAACAGTAATTCATTTTATTTTGTTTACAAATGTTAATTTTGTGTAGGATGTACTAACCAGTAATTATATTAGTATTTCTGAAAATGCTTGTAATGTTTCTGTTTTTAAAGTAAAGCCTAATCATGTGTGCAAATGCTGAACATGATTACCTGCTTTTCCATTCTAGCGTGGAAAAGAAAACCACAACTTTTTCCATATCCAGTAAGTACATTTGCTTGAAAAGTCTTTTTCTTTTGGGGAAGAATCACTCAAGACATTGGTAAAACATGAGTTTGAAAAAACATTGCTTGAAAGTATTCTTATTATCTCTTTAATGAAAAGGAATGGATGAGCATTTACTTTGAGATACTTGGGATTCTTCGTTATTTGATACATATCCAATAATTTCTGGAAAATTCCTGAAAGTATCATGTATGTATCACAATTTGCAGAAGATGTAATTAGATCTCAAGAGAAGCTGCAAGCTATGAAACAAGAGAGATAATAAATGAATGAAAATAGGAGCCTGGAAAAGTTGTGAGACATGAAAAGAAGACGGATGGTTTGGTGCAGGCCTTAGAAATGAAACAAGAGTCATAGAATGTAGGGAGAAGAGAAATGGTCTTAGCATTGAGTGTTCAAATACTGCTTTTATGGTACTGAGAGGCAGGGATTGCACTGCAAATATCTACTGAAGGAACCTCTCCTAACATGAAGTCTGCTTTTTTACAAGCTAAGTATAGTCTCCATTCTATTTGTGGCCCCTAGCAAAGTGTTGGGGCACTTAACAGAAAGCACTAAGACTGCTGAAAAATGTGATAATCTCTCGTGGAGCCCAAGTCTGGGTGCAAGAGGTGAGTGTCCTGCCCCAGCAGGCACTCTGTCCTGACTCTCTCCTCTTCCCATAGGCCACTGCTAATCCTGGTCAGGGCTGTTTCTGAAATCCCAACTGGAGCAGACCCATTCACCAGGTGACAAGCTTGTGTAAGGCAACTACGGGAAGACGTTTAAACCCAAATCAATACATAAACATTTCAATAAAGATAAAAAACAGTCATTGCCAATTTGTTAAACAGTCCAACAGTTAGTACAATACTTCACTTATAAAACTATTTGAAAATCTGTCTATTTTCATTTGGTTAAAAAAAAAAAAAGAACAAAAGCAAATGCAAACCAAACCCAGATGCAAATGCAAGGATAGTTTAAAAGAACAATCTTTTACAAGAATCTAGAAATATTTCATGACAAAACCTGGAAATAGTGTGACACTCAACTGTCTGTCTACTGACAGTTTCCACCACCAACATTTAGACAAAATATAAGCCAAGATCTAAAAACTGTAAATCATGGAGAAAGCTCTATGTACCACGCAGACTGCACCTTATAGCTCCTGGATGTGCCACTGGGAAATCAACTCCTCACTCTCATCCACACTAACAGTAAGAGGCACTCCATTTTTCTCAAGACACAGAACTGTACAATCACCATGACTGGAAATGATTATCTAGTCCAAACGTCCACCTACCACCAATTTTTCCCCACTAAACCATGTCCCTTAGTACAAGGTCTAAACACTTCTCAAACACCTCCAGGGAGTGTGAGTCAACCATTTTCCTGGCCAGGCTGTTAAAATACCTCACCACTCTACTGGGGAACAAATTTTTCCTAATACCCAACCTGAACCTCCTCTGGTGCAACTTGTCCTATTGCAGTTACCTGGGAGAAGAGGCCAACCCTACTCGCCACAATCTCCTTTCTGAGAATTGTAGAGAGTTGTAAGGTCTGCCCTGAGATTCCTCCAGACTAAACAATCCCAATTCCCACAGCTGCTCCTCATAAGACTTGAGTTCCAGACCCCTCACCAGCCTTACTGTCCTCCTCTGGACACGCTCCGGGGCCTCTGTCTTATTACACTATTCCCCATTCAACACTTTGTGATGGTGTAGATCAGAGGTGCAAAACACACTCAACCAGGTAAGTTAGGTCTGTGTCCTGCTGGTAGACTAAAATAATCAAGCTTCCCAAAAGAGCTGCTAGGGCACAGCGAGCTGCATCACCAGCCTTGGGCCTGCCACTCATCTCTTCTCTTTCCCTGCACTTGGGTTTTGCACTCAGAGTGGCTGGGCAGAGAGGGAGAACCCATAGTGACTGACTGTCAGAAACTGCTGCATGACAGAATGATGCAGTTCAGTGCAGGTAAATTGGGAGCTTTAAGGTAGCCCATTAGAGATAAGACCTTCTGAGGCATACAGGTGGATTTTTTTTTGTTAACCTTTACAATAGCAAGCAGTGATCTTATACACCAGAAATAGCTTTCTTGAACTGATGGGCCAGGGATGCTACTCACTCCCAAATTCAAAAACAAGGTTTGCCTCTGTGAGCAGAACCCAGAACTGCCCCACATCAGACCAGAGCCAGCTCCAGCTGCTCCAAAAGCGAACTGCTGCTGCCAGAGCTGAGCTGTGAATGATGCTGGGTGCAGCTCTGGGAGAGCAGACCGAAAACAAGGAAAAACTGCAGTGCAACAGCAGCTGGGAGAGACGAGTGAGATGCGTGACATGAGCAACCCTGCAGGTACCAAGGTAAGCGTAGAAGAAGGGTGGGAGATGTTCTAGGTGTGGAGCAGAAGTTCCAGTAGCCCAGGAGAGTCCTGTGGAGATGCAGGCCTTACTCATGCACCTGATGAGCACCACAGAAAGTATATCTCCAGGTCTAGCCACGAAGGAGCCCATAGTGGACTAGGCAGAGAGGACCATAAAGGAGCAGCAGGGACAAAGCATTACAGACCAATCACTGCCCCCATTCCCTGTTCCTCTGTGTCCATCAGGGGGACGAGGCAGAAGATTTGGGCACGAAGTTGAGGCTGAGAAGTAGGGGGTGGATTGGAGGAAGGTGTTTTAAGCTTTGTTTCTCATTATGCTACTCTATTTTTAATTGCAACAAATTAAATTAATCTTCCCCAAGCAGCATCTGTTTTGCCTGTGCAGCCATCAGTGAGTGATATCCCTGCCTTTATCTCAGCCCAGCGGCTGAGATCTCATCTTCTCCCTGCGCCTTGCTGTGCAGAGGGAACAAGAGAGCAGCTTGGTGGGCACCTGGCAGCCAGCCAAGGTCAACCCACCACGGAGGCTCAAAGTCTGCCTTTAGAAGCAAAGGAAAGAACAACCGACACGTTTTTATGGCTGCTCATGCACGTCTCAAGAGTCCGCTGAGAACTACAGCATCACCAGTGAGACTTCCAAAGGAGTGTCCAATGGAAAACAAAATATTGACAGCACGTGTGTGGATGTCAATTCTGCAAAGCTATCTTAAAGTGAAAGTTTTATGCGTTCTGTGTGAATCATTATATACGTAATATATTTTATAGTACAGCGTATTATACATAGCAGATATATCATGCATCCTCTCTCCAGAAATATATATACATGCATACAAACAGCTGGCCATTCTTTACTTCATCTGTCAGAGTGTAAGATAATCGGAACAGTCCCCAAGTACTAACAGTTGTACTTGCACTGCTAAGTCTGGTTGTGGCAGACCTAGTAAATCCATTCACAATGCATAGTTTCTATGGGCCCTGTAGGAATTTCATGAACCTAAGAAATTAGTATCTGTCAGTATCACAATGATGGACACAGACTTATCAGAACTTATTTTAGAATTATAATTAAGCATATACGTAGCAGACAACTTTTTACGGGTAATATGTTTATTTACCATGTGCATTCCAGCAGCCTGCAGGTCACCAAAAAGCTCTAAACCCGAGACAACTCCTATGAACAGCATCTCATATAATCTGGCCTCCAGATTATTCTCACTTTAATTGCAAAAAGTATATGAAAACTTTCACTGAAGTACCGATAAATGTTCTCAGCTAGGAAAACTACTTCATTAATTTCAGTACTCAGTGTCAAATGCTCATTTTTCACAAAACAGCGCAAGGCAAAAGAGTGACAGCAACAGCAAAATAATCTGTTTGCTAGGAATTCCCTCCTAGTACACACAGAACAAAATATTTTTGTTGCTGGCCCAGAACTGATAATGAATAAGATATTGTCCAGATGGATATGCATGTCAGTTACAACCTGGCAGATTTCATTGTAAGCAAACATCCCAGTTCAGCAAAGAAATAGCCTTTCCATACTCAACAACTGCAGCAGTTCTCAATACTTTGCTTGCTATGGACACTGGGATTGGAATCCAGTCGTGGTGCTTCCTTCCTGGAGATACTCAAGGCCTTAGGTTTGATGGGGCTTTGATCAACCTGATCTAATGGGAGATTTCCTTGTCGGAGGGGTTGGAAAAGATGATCTCTGAGGTTTCTTCCAACACAAATCACTGTATGATTCTGTGATCTTTTAAGGTCTCTTCCAACCTAAGTCACTCTAAGATTCTATGATTAAGAGTATGTCCCGCCGTGCAGTGTAGCTGTGTACTTTTACCATTAAATGGAGCTCCAGGGATATGCTCAGAACGTGCCAGTGGGAGAAGCACTGTGGTTAGCCCACCAGTGACTGAGCTAGAAAGCACAAAGCTGTGATCCAATACATCAACTTGTACCCAAATGTGACACAAGGGTCTGTCCTGGACACCTACTCTGAGCAGTATGCACCTGCAAAACCCCCACATGGATTTGTGCACAAAGAGAGCTCACAACAGAACATGCCAAGAGGATGTGCACCTTTCCATCATACAAGTCCTAAAGTTCCATTTCCTCACCCACCATCTCTGCTCCATTCCACGTGTAACCAGAGGCTCACCCCCACAGAGGCACACCAGCCACACACACAGCCGCGCACCTCATCTTACCAACCACGGGCGCTCAGTCACACCCCACATAGAACAGCTGTCCTGTGCATCACGCCGCTGATCATAGGAACTCTTTGGCCATCGACACACACGCATACGCTCATACCCACGCATCGCGATACGGCCAATATCAGCAAAGCCGCCGAGCAACACTCGTGCTCACACCCTAGAGGTGCGGTGTGAGCGGTGCCCCAGAGAAGCCCGTGCTACACGCGGTGCTGCGTGCACGTGCGATGCGCTGCGCTGCGCACTGTCACCCTCCGTGTGTGCGTGTGTCCGGACGGGACGCAGCCGCCCCACTACCTGCCGAAGTGACCCAGGGAGTCGAAGAGCTGCTCGGAGCCGGGAGCCATGGCGGGGCCGCAGCCTCAGTGCCGCTGTCCCGGCGCTGCGGGGAAGAGCCACCGGCCCGGCCCGGCTCCCCGCCCCCTGCGGCCCGCCCCGCCCCGTCCCGCGGCCCGGGGCTCCCCGCGGGGGCCGTTCCGAGGGCAGGCCCCGGACGTGGTCCTGCGGGGTTCGGAGAGGCGTGCCTGAGGGACTGCGGGCCGGGAAGCGGAGAAGCGGCCCTGACAGTTCGGCAACATGCGGGTGGTCGCGGTCTCGGTACTGCTGCGGTGGGGACGGTTCCGTCCCTCACCCGGACCTGAGAACATTCACATCCCTCACTCAGACCGTCCGCCTCAGATCCAGCTCTTCCTTCAGGGCTGGGCTCTGCCAGTCCCATCAGGCAGCTTTTTTTTTTTTCTTTTTTTTCCTTTTTTTCACTTCATCCCCCCCTCATCTCCAAATTAAATTATGTGCTTCATTCCTCCTGTGGCAATCAATAACGATCTGCTATTTCAGGCTCCAGTGTGTTTTGTACAGATATTTTCAGTTAAAAGAGGGGATACGTTTTTTCCCCACAGGACATTATCTACATGCTATCAAGAGTTACTTCTGGTTGCCTTATGATCTGCCCTGTTGTTGGAATACATTATGTTGTAATGAGTTATATGATTATTTTTTCCCCCAAAAGTATGGCACATAATGCAAAATAGTATTATTCACTGAACGTAAAATATGCAACATGTCCCATACAGCATCATTCACTAGTACACTAACTTATAATTAAGCCTTAATTATATTTGGACCTAATATTCTGCCTTCCCTAGAGCAGGACAAGATCACAGAATTATAGAATCATAGAATTATAGAAGCACAGAATGCCTTGGGTTAGAAGGGACCTGCTGTGGGCAGGGCTGCCATCCCCCAGTTCAGCTGCCCAGGCTCCCATCCAACCTGGTCTTGAGCACCTCCAGTGATAGGACACCACAGCTTCTCTAGGCAGCCTGTGCCTGTGGCTCACCACCATGGAGTAAATAATTTCCTCCTGATAACTAATCTAAATCTCCTCTCCTTTAGTTTAAAACCATTCCCCCTTGCCCTATCACCATCTGCCCATGCAAAAAGTTGATTTCCCTACTGTTTATAATTTCCCTTTAAATATTTAAAGGCCATGATGAGGTCTCTCCAAAGCCTTCTCCAGACTGAACAAGCCCTGCTACCTCAGCCTGTCTCCACAGGAGAGGTGCTCCAGCCATTTCACCACCCTTGTAGCCCTCCCCTATACCCTCTCCAAAAGCTCAACATCTTTCCTGTACTGGGGGCCCCAGACCTGGACACAGTACTCCACCTCACAAGGGCAAAGTAGAGGGATACAATCACCTCCCTCTCCCTGCTGGCCACCCCTTTTTTGAAGCAGTCAAGGGTATTGTTGGCCTTCAGGGCTGCAAGCACACACTGCTCACTCATGATAAGTTTCTTTCATCTAATAGGACCTCCAAGTCCTTTTCTGCATGACTACTGTGAAGGATTTTTTCTCCCAATCTTTATATATATCCAGGATTGCCCTGAGACAAGTAAAACATTTTGCACTGGACTTTGTTGAACCTCATTCGTTTTACATGGGACACCTTTCAGGTTTGTCCAGGTCCCACTAGGTGGCATCCCTTCCTTCCATTGCATCAATTGCACACCTTAGCTTGGATGAGATAACCCATCTAAAGCTGCTGGAGAATGAGCAGGACAGATGACAGCAGAAGACCTTAGTGCTGTACAAACACGCTTCAGCCACCCAGTCACTCCTGTGTGACAATTAGGAAAGGTACAGAGAAGAACTATGGTGGGTACAACCCTCAGGTTTAAGATTTCCCTCCTCCTCCTCCAAGTCTGAAGGTGTCCTTGCACAGTATGGGGAGATCATAGAACCACAGAATCATTTGAGTTGGAAGGGGCCCTTAAAGGCCATCTAGTCCTCCCCTGAAACAAACAGGGACATCCACAGCTACATCAGTGTGCTCAGAGCCCCATCCAGCCTGACCTTGAAGTGTCCAAGGATGGGGCATCCATCACCTCGCTGGGCAACCTGTTCTAGTGCCTCATCACCCTTAGTGTAAAAAACTTCCTTACATCCAATCCTTACCTCCCTTCTTTTAGTTTGAAACAATTTTCCCCTTGTTCTAACACAAACAGGCTTTGCTAAAGAGTCTGATCCCTTCTTTCTTATAGCCCCCCTTTAGTATCTAAAGGAGATACTAAAAAGCTATTATCAGCTCTCCCCAGACATGGAGATAGACCAGATCCACTCTAAAGCCTCCTTCCACCCCAAACCATACTGCAGTGCTGCAATTGCTGGAAGGCACATTTCCAGCAGGTTGCATGAAATAACCTCTGGAGATTTTCTATTAATCCACTGAAGTCAACCTTCCTTTTCAAAATGTGATCCAAACACTTCTAACAGTACCTTCCCTGCTGGCCTACCCACTTTTGCAGGGAGATGTGTCTTTAAGAGGCTCTGGCATCAACTGAGTGCACAACTGCACCTCTGTGCAGATGTTCGTGCAGTGCAGTGACAATCTGTTCCAGCACAGACCTGGAAAAAGCAGATGTTTGTCAGACTTCTTGGTCATGAGCAAACAGCACATTGCACTGCAAGGAATCTAAGGATCAGGTCCAGCAAAGGATTCCTCCTCGCAGCTACTGCAGTGCTACACCCATCTCATGCTCCTTCGGAAGGCTTTACTCTGAGAAAGCTCTACAGCTATCTGTCCACATCTGCATTGGATTTTTTTAACACAAAGTCCGAGGTTTGTTTTTGTTACTTTCTTGGGGTATGTGAAGTCTAAGGGACTTGTTTTCTTTTTTCTTTTTTCTTTTCTTTTTTTTTTGTTTTTTTTTTTTAGATGTACACCACGTGATTTTTCCCTTAAAATATCAGCATTCATTTGAATCAACCTTGTTTTTTTCTGAAGCATATTTTTTCCTGTTGAAATGCTTGAAGATAGCACTGGTACATTCACAAAGCATTTATTTTTCCCAAGAGCCACTCTAGTTTAAATAGTTGTTTACAAAAACAAACAGCAACAAATAGTAAACACTCTGTCTACGTAATGCCTTCCTGCTTCTCTGCCTGTTTTTAGTGTCTTGCTCCTACACCAAGTAAACTCATTAGGTTTCTACAGCATAATGGTATCAGGAAGATCTATTTTTGGTGTAAACATCAAGCAGGAAATAGCTAAGTCCCTTTCAGTACCATTTTTTAAATCTGAAACGATCCACAGTTGTCACTTTGTGGAATCTCTCATAGACATTCTTGCACACATTTCTCTCTATATCTGCATTTCAGATAATATGACTTTATGGAGGGAGACTGACTTTTTTTGTGGACTAATAGCAATAGGATGAGAGGGAATGGTTTTAAACTAAAGGAGGAGTGATTTAGATTAGACATCAGGTGGAAATTTTTCATTCAGAAGGTAGTGGGGTACTGGCACAAGTTGCCCAGAGAAGCTGTGGTGCCCCATGCCTGGAGGTGCTCAAGGCCAGGTTGAATGGGACTTTGGGCAGCTGAGCTGGGGGGTGGCAGCCCTGCCCACAGCAGGGGTTGGAACTGGGTGGGCTTTCAGGTCCCTTCTAACCCAAGCTGTTCTGTGATTCTATGATTCTATAATTACATGATTTACTGCTCATAGCAGAATGAAAATAGAAAAATTGCACCCTCTTCTACTGAAGTTAATTCTAAACACTCATGTCTGTTTCCAAAAGTTATTGATGTAACATCTGCAATGTCAGCTCTCTTAAACATGCAGTGATCAGAGATTCACCTTCTTTCTTTTTCAAGCCTCGGAAGATGCACAACATGCTTTAAGCCTGCCTTCCTCCTGTGCTGTTACAGCAATTCTACGTGAAGCAGTAGCTGTGCTTTTAGTCACAGTTATTCCTCGCTGAGATGTTTTTCACCAGGGTGACCTAAAAACGTAGAGGTCCTTTGCTGACTTTGTTCACAGACAGCACACAGCTCTCTAGCTTCTTGCGGCATGATAAACTTGCGCTACACAAGCACAAGCAGCATCTGAAGAAGTACACGCATGCTGAGCTTTGAATTACAGCTGGACTCTAAATACAAAAGTAGATCACTGATAGCATCTACCAACCCTTTTTCACAGCTCCATTGAGGAACTGATTACCTAATTTCCAAGCCTTCTCTTTCCTGCTCCTTTTGACGTGGCTTGTAACCCACAGGTTAGGAGCAGTTTTTACAGAGTGCTGGGACTGCAGCTGTCAAGCAGCAAACAGGTGAACTGACTACTGCCACAAGCACTCAAATCAAGTGTACGAGTGGAGTCCAACCCTGAGTGGTCTCCAATATCTGTTTTTGGTGCACGAATGAAAAAAAACTAAAACAAAAACCCACTAAAATAATTTGTAAGGTAACTTGAACATAACCTTCTCACCTCTTGTTTGGAAGTTACCTGTCTCTGTTCCCTTCCATGGCAAGCAAACAAGTGACTCCTAGTTGTATTGTGGATGCCTGCAAGGATCCATTTATTTGTGACACCTTCCAGTGTATGCTGCTTCAGCTTCATATTTCCAAGGACTCTTCCTGCACTGTACCTTTCTGTCTGGAATTACTCCAACTGTACAGATAATGAATGCATACGAAAAATATGCTTAACCATGGAAATTTCCATAGTTCAACACGACTAAACAGCCCTCTTGAGTAATCTAAAAATAATTTATAGATTCAGAAAAGAAAGTTGAATGGGCAGGAGAATAGCATGAGAGCTTGACTCAGAAACCTATTCCTTCAGAGGAAAAAGGCAATGAGAATTTATCTGAATACTGTTTCAGTTTTAGACTTTACCTTTTATGAAAAGCAAAAGCTAAACTCCCTGCTAACACAGATATCTTCATGGATGCCTTATAAAAGCCAGAAAAATTTGATAAGCATCTTAAGAACATATTTTTTTTAGCAAAAGCAGGATTTAAAGAGAGCTCAAATAAAACATAACACAGTACAGTCAAAATCCCAAGTCTTTAATTTTGTTTCAGTTATAATTCTTGTAATATG